CCACACTGTGTCTCCGGTGCTGTCCCCGCAGGGCCATGGGTCAGTGAGGGCATTAAAGTGTTCTTATGTACATTTGAAATTGAGAAATAGGGATTTTTTTTCCATAAAGAAATTAAATATCTGCTTAAAGAATAAAATTTGGTCTGATGCATAGTTATTAACGCTTTGCACTGTTAACCACATAGTCAGCAGTTTGAAACCACCAAGCCATTCCTTGGGAGAAAAATTAGGCTTTCTATTCCCATGCAGCATTACAGTTAGAAACCCACAGGGACAATTCTATGCTGTCCTACAGAGTCACCATGGGTTGGATTGCCTCATTGGTAGCAAGTTTGAGTATTGATGTCTAGTAACAGTGCTTTTATGTCAATCTGAACTTCTCTGTAGAACGTATTGCAATTATTTCAAACTCGCACAATATTAAATCCTGTTTTTAATTGCTAGGGCAAAACAAGAGACTTTTCATTTTAAACAGGTTACTTTTTTAGTTTGTTTTGTGATTTTTTTTTCATCCTTAATTTTAGTAAGGTAAATAAGGTAGTCAAATTTTACTGTAAGACCAGAGATTGTCAACTAGTGACTTGTACAATATTAAAATAATTTTTAAACATGCCATCATATAAAAATAGATTTTATTAAAGACCTAGTGTTCAGTAACTCCTGAACCACCGTTGATCCTCTGTTCTTACATGACAGAATTGTCTGTTAGATGTGACACCCATTATTCACTTAAACTTTGGACACCATCCCAGTAACCTTCACCAATTTAACATTCTGTAGTTAGTTCTTAGCATTTGGGTTGCAACCTTGCCATTAATGAGTCTGTTTCTTGATACATACCCATTTGAATGGAATTTTCTTGGGGTGGGGAGAGGGCCATTTTTATCTGCTTAGTCCGTCATTTAAATTTTTCTCATTTAAAAATTATTTTAGACAAGGCCTATTTTCCTTGTTTATTCAAATGAAAGGTATATGTTATGTATATAACAGAAATGAAAGGGAGAAAGCTATCATTATCCATTTAATTTTGAAATAAACTTTCAGTAATTTAAAATCCAAACAGTTGTTGCTGTCTGAAAGCAATCACTTCAGAGGCCACTTACTCTAAAAGCATTGCTCAGAAACTTTCCTTGGAGCAGCGAGGGTGACATATTTCTTTTGAGAATTCTCAGGAATGTCAGATTTTTATCCTTTGAGAGTAACTATAATTCAGTAAAATATGAAAAGAATATATAGGTTGACAAATAAATAGAATGTAACAATTTGGGGGGAAGCACAAAGCCCTTTAGCTCAAAGTCTGTTCTGGTGAAACAAACTCTGGATAAAACCAGATTCCATTTGTTCAAAAGTAAGTTTTCCAAGAAACAAGATGCTATAAATGTACCTTACCTACCTCCCAAAGAATATGAAATATAGTACATTGAATTAATGGGAAAAACAAAGTTAAAGTAACAAAGAAAAACTCCACCAGAGGGAAGAAAATTGAAAAACCATCCTGTTTTCATGCCATAAAATTTAAGGAATATTTTCCAGGCCCAGAATAATTTGTAATAAAGGTAGCAGAAGCAGGTATCAGTTTCATAAAATTATTTTCTCAGCTTTATATAAAATTGCTCAAGGCCCTAGCTCACAAGGTAGCAAAATGAATGAAACAATTAGAGATACCAACGAGATAACTGTTTATCAGGTATAGTGACTCAAGTTAAAAAATCAATTGCACTAATCATAGACTCAAGTTACACCAGTGTGAAATCTCTTGGCTTAAAAATTATTTTTGAAACATACCAAAGCATACTTTGAATGGATGACTTGCATGACGTATGAGATATATCTCAAAAAGCTATAAAAAACAAGCAAATAATGAGACCGCCATGGAGAAATTTTTGCCACAGCAGGAGCATTGATTCAAGTGGTGAAGAACATTCACTTGTGGGAAACAAAAGAAAATTTAAGAGGCTCTCTAGAAAAGAGTTTGTGCAAGTGGCCATCTAGCAGAGAAGCAACAAGCCCACATGGAAGAAGCTCGTGGGATCATGAGGTGTGGTCAAGACAGGGTAACAGGCATCAGAAGACCGAAAACAAACAAACAAACACTGTTGAGAATTAGGGGAGTCAGAGCAGAGTCCCAAAGCCCATCTGTAGACACTGGGACATCCCCCAAAGAGGGGTCACAGGGAAAGGATGAGTCAACCAGGACACAATAAAGCACTGATGCAACACAATATTCCTCTGGCTCCTTGAGGCTTCCTCACCCCCCACTATTATGACCCCAGTGTTGTCTCTCACTTCGGACTAGACCGGAGCATGTACACAGGTACAGATAAGAGATAAGAGCTCACAACTCAAAGAATTTAGGAACAGGAATGGGAATAGCGATACCTGAAGGTTAGGAGGGAAGTGGGGAGAGGAGGGGAGGAAGAGGGAATCAATTGCATGCTCGATACATAACCACACCCACAGCCCTCCAGAGGGATGAACAACGGAAACCATGGGGGAAGGGAGACGGTGGTCGGTGTGAGATCTGAAAATGATGTAATTTACAATTTGTCCAGGGGTCACGGGGGGGATAGGGGGAAGAAAGGAAAAAAGAGGAGCTGATACCAAGAGCTCTATAGAAAGTAAATGTCTACCACATGGAAGAAGCACACCAGCCTGTGTGATCAGGAGTTGTTGACAGAATCAGGTATCAGGCATCAAAGAACAAAAAAATCATATCATTGTGAATGAGTGGGAGTGGAGACCCAAAGCCCATCTGTAGGCAACTGGACATCCCTTTACAGAAGGGTCACGGGGAGGAGACCAGCCAGTTAGGGTGCTGTGTAGAAACGATGAAACCTACAACTAACTTCCTCTAGTTCTTTATTGCTTCTTCCACCCCCACTATCATGATCCCAATTCTACCTTACAAAGCTGGCTAGACCAGAGTATATACACTGGTACAGATAAGAGCTGGAAACTCAGGGAATCCAGGACTGATAAATCTCTCAGGACCAATAATGAGAATAGAGATATTAGAAGGGTAAGGGTAAGGTGGGGGGAGAAAGGAGGAACCCATCATAATGATCTACATATAACCCCCACACTGGGGGATGAACAACAGAAAACTGGGTGAAGGGAGACATTTAACAGTGTAAGACATGGAAAAATAATTTATAAATTATCAAGGATTCGTGAGGGAGAAAGGGAGGAGGATGGGGAAAGGAGGGGCAAAATGAGCTGATCCCAAGGGCTCAGGTAGAAAAAGTGTTTTAAGAATGATTATGGCAAGAAATGTACAAGTATGCTTGACACGATGGATGTATGGATTGTGATAAGAGTTGTATGAGCCCACAATAAAATGATTTAAAAATAAAGTAATTTTTAAAATGTTGCAGGTCTGTCTAAATAAAATAGGCTGGATGAACAATCTGGAGGAGAAAACAACTGGCTTGACGCTTCCCGGGGGACATGGGAGAGGGAAGGGTGGGGCTATAGGAAGTGGTGTTAACAAACCCAGGGACAAGAGAACAACAAGTGATCCAAATCAGTGGTGGGGAGGGTGTAGGATCACGCCTGGTAGGGCGTGATCAAGGGCAATGTAACCGAGAGGAATTACTGAAACACAAATGAAGGCTGAACATGGTAGTGGGACCAAGAGGAAAGTAAAAGGAAATCAAGGAAAGAACTAGGAAGCAAAGGGCATTTATAGAGGTCTAAATACAGGCAAGTACATATGTACATATATTTTTATATGAGGATGGGGAAATAGATCTATGTGCATATATTTATAGGTTTATTGGGTAGCAGATGGACATTGGGCCTCCACTCAAGTACTCCCTCAATGCAAGAATGCTTTGATCTATTAAACTGGCATTCCATGATGCTTACCTTTCCTACAAGATTGCTGAAGACAAAAGGGTGCATAAGCAAATATGGTAAAGAAAGTTGATGCTGCCCGGCTATCAAAGATATAGCATCTAGGGTTTTAAAGGCTTGAAGGTAAACAAGTGGCCATCTAGCTCAGAAGCAACAAAGCCCACATGGAAGAAGCATACCATCCTGTGCAATCACAAGGTATCGATAGAATCAGGTATCAGGCATCAAAGAACAAAAAATGATATCACTGTGAATGAAGGGGAATGTGGAGTGGGGACCCAAAGCCCATCTATAGGCAACTGCACATCCCCTTACAGAAGGGTCACGGGGAGGAGACGTGCCAGTCAGGGTACAGTGTAGTAACAATGAAGCATACAACTTTCCTCTAATTCTTAAATGCTTCCTCCCTCCTACTATCATGACCCCAATTCTACCTTACAAATCTGGCTAGACCGGAGGATATACACTGGTCCAGATAGGAACTGGAAACACAGGGAATCCAGCACTGATGATTCCCTAGAAACACAGGGAATCCAGCACAGTGCTGAGAGTGGCAATACTGGGAGGGTGGAGGGAGGGTGCGGTGGAAGTGGATTACAAGGATTATAAGGATCTACCTCCTCCCTGGGGGATGGACAACAGAAAAGTGGGTGAAGGGAGACTTCGGACAGTATAAGATATGACAAAATAATAATTTATAAATTATCAAGGGTTCATGAAGGAGCGGGAGTGGTGAGGGTGGGGGGGGAAATGAGCTGATAGCAAGGGCTTAAGTGGAGAGCAAATATTTTCAGAATTATGAGGTCAATGAATATATAGATGTGCTTGACACAATGTATGTATGTATGGATTGTGATAAGAGTTTTACGAGCCCCCAATAAAATGATTTATTAAAAAAAAAGTAAATGTCTAGAAAATAATGATGGCAACATGTACAAATATGCTTGATACAATTGATGTGTGGATTGTTATAAGAGGTGTAGGTGCCCTTAATAAAATGATCTTTTAATTAAAATTAAAAAAGAAGAGTTTGTAGTCATATTTGAAACATTTTTGCTTTTGTTTTTTTGTTTGTTTCAGGAGGACAGTTGCGGCTTTTTGACTCAATGGGGCTGAATGGGTGAGTAAGTGAGCATACAAACATGGTCTTTGATAAATGTGGTCAAAGAGAGAGCGCTTAGACTTTGGTATCCTGGCTAGGTTTGACTATGTGACCTTGACAATGTGTCTAGCCTCTTTGAGCTTCATTCAGTTTCCTCACCTATGATATTCTCATCTTTGAAAAGGCACATAAGCCTAGGTTAACTCCATGGATAGGTCACACATCACTGTAACCAGTCATTAAAAAAAAGTAAATTAAAAAAAAATCATTTTATTGGGGGCTCTTGCAACTCTTAACACAATCCATACTTACGCCCATTGTGTCAGGCACATTTGTATATATATTGCCATCATTTTCAAACTCTTTCTACTTGAGCCTTTGATATCAGCTCATTTTCCCCCCTCCACCCCTCCCTCCTCATGAACCCTTGATAATTTATAATTTTTCTTCATGAAAAATTTATAAGAAACCAAAATCTTAACATTTCTCACTTTAAATGTTGAAATGACTCCTTACTCCATATAAAATGCAAATCTAAACCCACTGCCATTGAGTCAACTGAAGTATATTTTCTTAGTAGAGAAGGTAAATCAAAGGAAGGAAGGAAGACTAAAAAAATGCTTATCTTTTGTTTCACCAACTTTGTGCCTTTGTTACAAATGCATATGAGCTAAATATTGACAAAACCATAGAAACTCTTATATGAACATACTCAAAATTGTGCTTAAAGCAAAGTTATTTTTTTCGTCATTAGTTTTCATCTTCTCATGTCCTCCAAAAGCCACCAAAAGATGGCTCAAAATTGAGTCACACATTATAATGACATGCCTTTTCTCCAGTGGAATACATTAAAAATATTATGGCTACATGTAATTGTAATTATCCTGCTTATAATTACCGTATATACTCGAGTATAAGCCAACCCAAATATCAGCCGAGGCACCTAATTTTACCACAAAAACTGCATGAAAAATGTGCTGAAAAACTCGGCTTATGATGAAATATACAACTTTCCTTTAGTTTTTTTAAAAAATCATTTTATTGAGGATTTGTACAGCTCTTATCACAATCCATACATAGATCCATTGTGTCAAGCACATTTGGACATTTTTGCCATCATCGTTTTCAAAACATTTTCTTTCTACATGAGCCCTTGGTATTGACTCCTCACTAGTTCTTAAATGCTTCCTCCCCCCACTATGACGATCCCAATTCTACCTTACAAATCGGCTAGACCAGAGGATGTACCTTGGTACAGATAGGAACCAGAAACACAGGGAATCCAGGACAGATGATCTCTTTAGGACCAGTGGTGATAATTGCAATACTAGGAGGGTGAAGAGAAGGTGGAGTAGAAAGGGTGAACCGATTACAGGGATCTACATATAACCTCCTCCCAGGGGGACAGACAACAGAAAAGTGGGTGAAGGGAGATTTCGGATAGTGTAAGATATGACAAAATAATAATTTGTAAATTATCAAGGGCTCATGAGGGAGGGGAGAGTGTGCAGGGAGGGGGGAAATGAGCTGATCCATAGGGCTCAAGTAGAAAGCAAATGTTTTAAGAATGATGAGGGCAATAAATGTACAAATGTGCTTGACACAATGTATGCATGTATGGATTGTGATAAAAGTTGTACGAGCCACCAATAAAATGATTTTAAAAAACTTGGATTATATATGAGTATAGCTTTCTCAGAATAATGGGAAAAATCACCTCTGGGGTTTGGATTTTTCAGCTTTTTAAATTGCTTACTGATTGATAACCAAGATGGAGCACTCATTCATTCAACTATACATATTCATTTATTCCTTAAATATTTAGAAAATATTATACTCAACTGTGTTAGTCTTGGCAGACTAGAGAAACAAATTCATAAACACGCATATGTGTATAAGAAAGAGATTTATATACAAGAACATTGAGAAAACATCCCAGGCCAGTCCAGATCAAGTGCATAAGTCGGATATTAGCCCATATGTCTGATGCCAATCTGTAAAGTCCTCTTCAGACTCACGAAACACATGCAATGACGCAAATGTAGAAGATCACAGGTCCGTGGGTAGAAAGTCTTTGGATCCAGCGTCATTGGAAACATTTCAGTGCTGGCAGGGGTCTCTGCATCAGGGTGGGTCCATGTGTCTTGTCAGCTGCTATGTGTCCCAGGGTGTGAGCCCAGAGAGGAAGGTGTCTCCTGCCTCCAAGGAGGAAGTACCAGATTTCCCAGAATTCTCAGGAGAAGGCCATGCCCACACAGAAGTCTCATTGGCTATCTCTAGATTGACAGCCTGGACTCCACCCCAGATTAGGTGACTACCACACTCAGTGCCATTGAGTCAATTCAGGGTAGAACTGTCCTTGTTGGCTTCTGAAACTGTTAACTCTTTTTTTTTTTAATTAGTTGAGGTTTAATACATAGACTGTTAATGGTTTATGAGAACCTCAGTTTTCTCCCACAGAGCATCAGTAGTTTTGAACTTCTATCCTTGCAGTTAGTAATCCCAATGTGTATCCCACTGTGCCACAGCACCCCCTGCGTGTTATACTAGGCCCTATCAATAAAATGGTGAATGAGCAACTGTTCTTAACCTTTGCAGAGCTGTTGAATATACAAGTCAATAGAGACGCGTCACAGAGTTTAACACACACATCCACAAGCAATTGCAGTGCGCTCTGATTAATTCTGTGATAGGGGGCTGAAGGAGTATATAAAAGGGGACTGTAACTAAGAATTGAGGAATCAGGAGATGTTTTCCAGAGAAAAAAGACATTTAAGATAAAAGTGAACGCTCAGCATTAGTTAACATCTTGAAGAACAGAGATAAATGAGGAATTCAGGCTGAGGGCCCTTAGACAATTGAAAGTTGGCATTTGAGGTGAAACTTAAACATGAATGAAACTTGAGAAATAAGCAGGTGCCAGGTCACACAGGACCTTAAACCTTGTCAAGGGTTTTACATTTTATCCTAAGTACAGTGCCATCAGAGGCATTTGAATCGGAAGGTGCCATGATGCAGCTTCATGTGTTTTAGAAAGTTCCCTTTGGTTTTCATGATTTGTATATAGAAGAAAGGGAGTTATGGGGAGAAATCTGGAAGCAAGGAAAGCAGTTAGGAGATTGTGTTGTCAAGCCAGTGGAAGAATAGTTTTTCTATGAATGGAGAGAGTTAAGAATTAAAATTGGTACTTCTGTGGTTTGAATCCCTGGGTAGATAGTGATATTGTTCATTAAAATAACCCTAGAGAAGAAAGAACATTTTAGGTTAAATTCAGGTGTGGGCTGGGGGAAGTAGAAGCCAAGAGGAGAGGGTGAGCCCCATGAGGACTGCTGAATTTGACATGGCTGTAAGCTATTTTTTTAAGTGTATTCCTGACTGTATACATATCTGAACTTCAAGAGATATAATAACTGGAAAGGCGAATTGTATTAATCAGCAGGCCGATGAACATGTGGTATGGATGTTTATCACAACAGTTAATGGTTGGAAGCTCTGCCTCTTACATCCCAAAATATCAAACCCATTGCTCTCAATTTTGACTCGTGGTGACCCCTTGTGTTTCAGAACAGAAGACTTCATAGGCTTTCAGTGGCTCTCTAATGGATGTCCCTCCATAGTGCTAATGGTTAGTTGCTAAATAAAAGGTTGGTGATTCAAATCTACCCAGGGGCACCTTGAAAGAGAGACCTGGTGATCTATTTGTGAAAGGTCACAGACATCAAAAACTGTCAGGGGAGCCAGACCCTAACAAATCATCACAGGCCCGGCAGGTGCAGTTGTACAGTGATAATATATAAAGAGTATAGTAAAGAAATAGAGAATGATAGAGATAGGAGAGAGTAAAATGAAGGAGTCAAACACATTTCATGGTAGTGTGCTCACCTCAGCCCCGCTTGGTGGTCCGTGTGGGGATATGTAAGGTGGGAATGGCAAGAAAGAGAGTGATTTATTTCTAATCAAAGCTTATATATCTTTGGGAGCATGCAAGCCCCCTAATTACAGGTATAGACATACGTCACAGGAAGGGAATGTACTGTAGGTAATACAGTAATGGGAGGGGGGCTGATGTAGGGGTATCCAAACAATAGGAAGAGGAGGAATTGGGTTGGGGTACATGTGGACGAGATGGGTTAATCCTAGCTTCAGGATGGCAGCCTAACTGGATGTCACTGAGCAGGTTTGATGACCTGTTCTAAGCTCTCCAGGGAAACAATCACTATCCTATCAATAGGGTGTAAACCCCACCTACAGTGGACCAGACAGTAGTTTAATTGCTCTGGATAGCTGAATGCCTTCAGGGAGAATATCTCTAAGCATCTGAACTCTCACCATGTGCTGACAAACAGCGTCTTAGGTTAGGCATGGAGACAAAATTGGATAAAAGTCTTTTTATATCCCACAAAAAGCAACTCCTACCCAAAACCAAAGCCATTGCTGTCAAGTTGATATGACTCATAGTGACCTTATAAGACAAAGTAAAATGGCCCCTTAGGATTTCCAACAACAAAAAAAGTAAAGTTTTACAGAAGCCGACTGCCACATCTTTCTCCTGTAAGGCAGCTGTTGAGTTCAGACGACCATTCTTTTGGTTAGCAACCAGTGCTGGAACCTCTATGACACCTGGGCTCCTTAGCCTTCTATCAGCAGTATATAAATGCCTGTTTCAGCATCACCCAAGTATTATCCTTGCAATAGTGTTTTTATACTCAGAATTGAGGTTCTTGCTCTGGCACCTGGATTTAGGGAGCCCTACTTGAGAGACTTTTTTGTATTCTTATTTCTAGATATGTTTTTGGTACTTAGGATCTTGTATTTACTGTCCATACATATCCTGGGCACATTTTAGGGCCTGGAATATTCATCTGTATGTGATCCAGGTGCTCTTGGGAAGGCAGGACAAAATATGGGATGGGGAAAGGATAGGCAGGAGACTGACTTTCACTTGAAACTCCAGGTAATTATAAATTTGAACCTACTTTTCTAGGTTATAAAAATGTTTCTGACAAGGTAAGTAAGAC